GAGACGGGGCTGTAGCTGAGCCTGGGACATCCCGTTGCTTTCTGAAGGCATGAGCAGAGATCCAGCGTTGTGGCTGGCGACTGGGGCTGGGGAAGATGCGCTGGAAAGTCCCAGGGTGCTGGACTTTCTTGCTTGCAGAAAAGGGAAGGCAAGTCCTCAGCCCTGCCCTGCTCCTCCCAGCAGTGGTTCCCTCAGCGTTTACCAAACGTTGAGCTCATGTCCCATGCAGAGGGGAAGGCGGGCATTGAGCAACCCTGTGGCACGACTTTCCAGTAATGGGAGTCTGAGTGTGCTGCAGGAGCACTTCTCCCATGCTGGGAGAGGGAGGAAACTGGAGGTGCCTGCAAGGCTGCTAGTGCTGGACCAGTCAGGTTCCCACCCCTAGAGGACAGTTTCCCAGCAGCTTGGGTTTCCCTTGGCCGCAGTGGATCACTGCAAGGTGACAGGGTTCAGCTTTTGGTGGCAACAGCCATGTTTTGGAGCTCTGTTAAGCAGGTGTTGTCCTGTTCCAGGTGTACATCTCGGAGATCTCCCATCCTGGGGTCAGAGGCATGCTGGGCGCTTGCCCTCAGATGATGGCAGTGCTGGGCTCCCTCTTCCTGTATGCGCTGGGCAAGTACCTCAGTGTTCAGAGGGCAGGAAACCCCCGTGGGACCTTGCGGGAGGGGAGTTTATTTTCAACTTTGTCAGCAAGTTGATTAATTCCTTTCCCTCACAGCCACCAACTCAGGTGTGCACAGGGGGCCTGGAGAGGATCACCCCTGCGTGCCTTGCCCTTGTATGTGTGTGTTTGTGTGTGAGTGCACCCAGAGGGACGAACCCATCCTGCATGGATCATGGCCACTACCGCACCTACAGACCCAGGTCCTGCCAAGGTTTTGCCAGGGCTGAAAAGCCGCACGCAATGAACTGTGTGTGCACCTCCTGTGAGCATGTGCCCTGGTTGCTGCAGGATCTTGCTGGACACTCTAAGATTTGCGGAGCTTGCTGGAATTTCCCTGTATTGTCAGCTGAAAATGCTTCTTTTCTAGGAGAAAAATATGTGCAATAACTCAATTTTTTCCCTGCTGGATTTATTAAATTTAAATTGTGGGATTGCCTATGTGGAGGCACCAGGACATCCTTCCTGATGTGCCTTCTGCTCCTGACTGTGCTGCTCCGGCAGGGCTGGTGCTGGACTGGCGCTCTCTGGCTGTCGCTGGGGAGGTGCCCGTGCTTGCGATGAGCGTCCTGCTCTGCTTCATGCCCAACTCGCCCCGGTTCCTGCTCTCCCAGGGAAAGAAGGATGAGGCGCTGGTGTCACTGTGCTGGCTGCGGGGCAAGGGCACGGACTACATGCAGGAGTATGAGCAAATCAAGGACAGCGTGAGGAAGCAGGTGAGGATGTTCACCTCCAGCATGGGGGGGGGTTACCTGGCAGCCACACAATCCAACCTCCTTTAAGCAAGTCCTGAGCCATCTTCTGGGAGCCACAGTGGTGCTCAGAGGGAGTCGCACTTCGGTTTCCTGGCTTTGTCCCTTCCAGAGCCGGCGTGTTTCCTGTGCTGAGATCAAGGACCCTTTCCTTTACAAGCCCATCCTGATCGCAGGGGGAATGAGGTTCCTGCAGCAGCTCTCGGGTGTCACTTGCATCCTTGTGTACCTGCAGTCAATATTCAAGAAAACTTCCGTCATTTTGGTGAGCCCTGGGGTTGGGCTTGTGCTCCCATTGCACTGACTTTAGCGCCAGATGCCCTATGCTCCAAGTCCCCTGCAGCCCCACAACCCCAGCTGTGGAGCATTTTTTAAAGCACTTGGTTAGCAGCAATAGCCAGTGAGGATGCGTGAGGCTGGGGAGCAGCACTGGACCCACTGTTTCCCCACTCTTCGCTGAGCTTCAGATTTTCTGGTCTCTTACTATAGGAAAACAGCTTTGACAAAGTCATCAGCCAGCGTCAAGACAACACATGTAGGAACCTGCTCTTTCCCCAGCTCTCCCACCTCAGCTTCCCCACTGCTTTTGCCATTGCAGAAACCAGAGTATGATGCAGCTCTTGTTGGCTTGGTACGTCTGTTCTCAGTGGCGATCGCTGCTGTGTCAATGGATAAAGCTGGGAGGAAGATTCTTCTTTTTGTATCAGGTACGTCTCGTGTACTGTTGTGCAAGAGCAGCTCTTACTGAAGGACTTGCAGGAGCTCTGCAAACATGCAGGAGTGGAAACTCCTCCTATGCTCAGCCATACAGAACTGGGGCAGGGAGTGAGGTGGTGTCCCAGCTCCTAAGCAGAGGCGTTCCCAGATCAGTCATTGGCATAGAGAGGATCACTCACCCATCAGTCCCACTGTGCTGTTGCATCTCTCCACAGCTAGTGTCATGTTGGTTTCAAACCTGACCATGGGCCTCTACATCCACTTTGTGCCAGCTTCTCAGAATGGCACTATTGCCAACAAGACCTTGGTGAGCTCTGCCAACGCTTTTGCTGAGCCGACAAACTACATCACCCTCATCCCCCTTCTGGCAACCATGTTCTTCATAATGGGTAGGTACAGAGAGTGAGAGCCTAGGACTCACAGCACAGGGCTGAGTACCAGACTGGGGGAACTCTTCTTACCCAGTCAGGGTGATGCAGAGCAAAGAGATTTGGCTTGGAGGTGGAAGGGAGGCAGTTATCCCTGGAAGACCACGAGAGACAGTATCTGAAGTCACTCTGAGGGCTGACAGAGCATGAATGGGCAGGAATAAAGATTGATGGAGCCCAGGGCAGGATTGCACAAGGCTCTTCTGCACTCCTCAGCAGGCTTCAAATCTTCAACAGCCTCCCTTTACTCCTCCTCCCTGCAGGTTATGCCATGGGCTGGGGCCCCATTACTTGGCTGCTCATGTCAGAGATCCTCCCTCTGAAAGCCCGTGGGGTGGCCTCGGGCCTCTGTGTCGTCGTGAGCTGGTTGACAGCCTTTGCCTTGACCCAGTCCTTCCTCCTGGCTGTGGTGGGTATTGCCCTGAGAGGGGGTTCTGCAGCCCCTCCTGACACCTTATGCACCAGCTCACATCTTCTGCTCCACCTTCTAGAACACCTTTGGCCTCGAGGTACCATTCCTGTTCTTCACTGTCATCTGTGCTGGGAACATCTTATTCACAGGCTGCTGCATTCCAGAAACCAAAGGCAGGTCCCTAGAACAGATCGAGGCCTTCTTCAGAACTGGCCGGAGGTCGTTCATGAGGTAGGAGCTGCCATGTGCCAACTGTGCCAGGCTACCAGTCCTGTCCACATGCTCAAGGGCAACAAAGAAAACTGTTACACTGATGGAGGTAGTGGCTGGAGCTCTCTGTGAAGGCAATAGGAGAGGAATGGGCAGCAATGATCATCTCGCTTTGGATATAGAAGTTGCCAGTTGGAACTTTACCTTCTCTTCCTATTATTCAACACTACATGTTGCGCTCCGGGCAACAGGTCAACCCAAAGTATGGGACCAGGTAACCAGCACCAGGCTAGAGATAAAGATGTCCTGAAAAATCAAACTTATGCTGCAGACAAAAAAACCACAAGTGCTTCGTGCAGCAGCCACCAAAGCAGCCTGAGAGCCTGAGGGTTTGGCTGGAGCACAGTCAGCAGCTGTAGCTGTTCTGGCAAAAGTTCATCATGTAGTTGCAAGAATAAAATGGTTTTGCCTCCAATTGCGAGATGTTGCCTTGATTTGTGAAGAAGGGAGCTGCAGGTGGGTGGGATGGGAAAGGCAGATGAGGACTGTGACAAGGGAACCACAGCAGCCTGCAGCTTCCCAGATGAGTCTCTGGTACTTAAGGACTGTGAAAGAGGCAGAGCCAGATATTTTGTATTAAAAGCTGCCACGTTTTATTGCTCTAAAAACACGCATTACACTAGAAGCTTAAAAAACAAGACCAAATACAGTTCACAAAGAAGATCCAAGACAAAAACAAAGAACAGAAACAGACACACATTCAGTTGTAGTGCAAGTGATTCACTGTAGGAAAGACATGGTGGATTCTGACAATGTAGTGGGGTGGGTGCTTCCCCCCACAGGGTTTTACTCATCCATAAAGAAAGGTGGATGTGCCTCCATCACAGTTGTGTGTGAAGCCTCCACCTCTACCACTTTAAGATTTCAACTGCATAATTAGTAGCAAATTGTCTTCTCCCTTTTTCCTGTGTGTCCTGCAGGACTAAGGACATTATAATTTATTTAGAGCCTAACCCCAGGTAAAACACAGCTGCAGGAGGTGGTTATGGAAGGAACAAATGGCCTTGCTGAGTATCACATACAACTTCACCCAGAAGGGCAGAACAACAAAGGCTGAACTGGGAGATGATTTGCTCAAGCACTTGTTCAACCTCCTGAAATGCCCTTGGCACCCTAAGAGTTGGTGGAGATGCTTGTGTCCTCCCACTCCCAGAACATTCAGCCCACTGTGACGAAGCACAGGGTAACAGCATGTATTTGACCCAGATCTCAAGATATGCTAGCTAGTATTTAGAAGCCCTACAGCAGGAGATGAGAGAAATCCCTGAAGATATGCTTTATCAGATCACTGATTTTAAGCAGCCTACAAGAGAGGAACAGATGGGCCAAAATCAAACCCACAAAGAAAATTCAGCATTAGACCCAACCTGTGCTGCTGAGACCCCTTTCCAGAAAGTTCAGTCCTGGCTGGAATATGATGTTTCTTTCCTTCTGAAGATCAGGATCTATGGTAGCCCTGTGCTAAAGTGTTCTCTTGCTCACATGGCTATGGACTAGGTCTTAATATATTAACTCCAAAGAAACCCTTCCCTGAAGACAGTGGATGTGTTTTTTTCCTATGTTAAAAAAATGACAAAGATTAATTGAGCTTCCCAGGGCTTGGCCTAAGGAGGAAGTGCCCAAATATGAAATGAGGTTGGGCTCTTCATGTTCTGTGAGAACCTCACTGGAGAAGTATTTTCTGAGTGACTCCTTTCTTCAATATAGAAAGTCTGAGCAGTTTTGCTACAGTTTTTATAGCTGAGAAATCACAGTGGCTCTTTGCAGAGGTAGAATAGTCTTTTTATTCACTGCACACATAGAGAATCAATTGGTGTTACAAAATCAGCTCCTGCCCAGAGCAGTGAAGTCCGGGCACACAGCAGGTGAGCTTCTACTCTTCAGGCTCAACAGACAGCCCCAGGAAATAGTGGAGTTAGCATGCACAAGTGCTGTCAACTTCATGACTGAATGGGACATGGAAGAGTTGCAGCTGTATAAATGCACCTGGGTAAGAAGTGCACAGCTCATGCTGAACGGTGTAACAGTCCATTGCCAAGTGCACACGTGCTGCCAGTGTCTTTCCACACTTGGTATCAACAACTCACTACAGTCAATGCATCACCCGCTCTTGAGTTCTCAAGTAACAAAGCTTCTGCCCCATCATACCCCAGAGACCTTTCCAAGACCTGGCAAGCAGAACGTCTTCCATAGAGACCCTGTGGACTAGCCGTCCATTAGCCTGGATGCCATCCACAGGGATTGGGTTGAGCCTGTAAAATCTCTCTCTAGAGCAGGCTTTTAACTTCATTTATCCTTACACAGCTCCAAGCACCCCCATGGTGCCTCTAAACAAAATTAATAACCACCATGCAATGTGAATAGGCATATAACTACTGTGATGCTACTACTCTAAAGGTCCTTTCTATCTCCACAAAAAACGTCCACACGGAGGTCAGACCATCCACTAACTGTCACAACAACTCCTCTCACAAGCCCTCCAAGTGACCCAGAGCAGCACCTGCCTGCAACAGGGACTGCTACTGGTCTGCGGCATGAGGACAATCAGATGAAGCCAGCGAGGGTCCTACAAGCTCTGTTGTTCATCACCGCAGATGGAGACCAGGCTGCAAATGTTTCTCTATCACCTCTGCTTTGCTTTTAACCTCCTGTCACTAAAGCTACCGTGGAACTACTCACAAAGCAGTTACTACCAAAGACATGCTCGTAGCTACGTGCATCAGTATGCAACATTCCTCTACTAAGCACTACTTAAGTCCCCAAAACACCCTGAAATAACAGCAGATGTCTTGTTTGCTAGGCAGGACTCAGCACTCAAACTAGCCAGTAAAGGTGCTGCACAGGGACACCTCTGGCTCCAAGAGCAGAGAGGCTGTTACCACTAAGGTACCCCACGGGTTGCCATGTATTCCCCCTGCAGCACCCCATTGCTGCGGGCAGCATGACCCAGGCAGGAGGCTGTGTTCCCTGACAGTGGCTCATGTGTTGCGTGCAGCAGCAGGGATCAGCCCAGAACCTGGGGCTCTGAAATGGCCCAGCTTTCATTGAAACAAGCTGCACCTGCGCTGGCGAGGCCTACTCTGCATCCCAGACGAGCTGGTGCCAGAGCAACCATGGCTCAGAGGCCGGGGGGAAAGAGGCTTAGCACAAAGTGGTTATCCAGCATCCAGCTGCAGGCACCCCTGTGTGTAAATAAACGCAAGTCGCGCTCCTGACTGGTGTAAATCCTCACACCTCCCTGAACTCCAAGGAGGAAACAAGACCTATCATTAGCTGGCAGCTTAGCCCTGCGATCTCCAGGGACCGCTTTGCTCCTGCTGCAATGCACAGGCTACTTCCCTACCCAGCCACCTCTCCAGGCCTGCCAGGGATGTGCTGGTGTTCCCCTGATGCGAACATACACCATATCCAGAGGAAGGACATGCAATTTGGATACTTTTCAACATGACGCTGCTCTGAAGCTGCAGAGTGGTTGGTGGACAGACTCATCTGACATACAGCAGTCAGCCTCCAATAGCATTTCCCTGATCACAGCACAAGCCCGCTGGTACCCCAGGGATTCAAATGGGACCACAGAGTGTTGGTGGCAGCGGGAGCTCTGCTCCCAGGGCAGAGGATGAAGAACAGGCTGCAGTCCCCACCGCCACTGCTCACCATAGCTGCTACCTGCCATGGCTGCCAAGCGAGCACCAGCCTCCAGCCCAGCAGTTACAGCTCAGTGTTCCTCCCTTCTCTCTTCCAGGAGAGGGGGAAACCAAACTTTGTCGAGCCAGTGGCCCAGAAGAAAACAAAGGGGTCAAAAGACAACACACTTTTCAGAAATCTGAGAAATGCTCTGAAGGCTGAAATAGGATTCTACAGTTACAGCATCTCAGCCACAGCAGCCAGGGCTCAGAGGGTTCAGAGACTCCCCCCAGCAGGATGAGACAGTCCTTTGAAGGACAGGAAACAGAGCACTCCTTCTTCCCGTGTCCAAAGAAAATGACCCTCAGCAAAATACTTAAATAAACAGAACAAAATTATTCCCCCTTTTCCTAATGACAACAAAAAGCAATCATGTGAAAAAAAAAAAACCCTCCACAGAAGAAACCTAACAAGAAGAGGGGGGTCTGAGCTTTGTGAGCAGTTTTGTTCTGCATGTTACAAAGCAAACAGAAAACAGGATGTGAAAAGCACTGATGGAGCCTGCAATAAAGAAGCAAGACATCCCAGCTATCCAAACTGAAACGGTGCAGACTTTGTGTTTGCAAAGGAAGGGCATGATACCTCCCCATACAAAACCAGCACATGACTGATACAGAAAGAACATGAGCCCAAAGACAATACGAAACAGAAGCAAAAAGCAGGTCCCTTATGGGAAAGGGTGGGTCATAGGAGCAGAAGAAGAGAGTGAGAGGGAATGGAGCAGAGTCCCAGGTTTACAAGAGGATGCTCCTTAACACCGACAAAAAAACCCTCTTGGCTCAAGCAATCATACCCTTTCCCAGCTGAGGTAAAGCAAACCTTATTCACCTTCTTCCACATGAAAAGAGTGAAGCTTAAGAAAAGCACCCTTATTAAGACAAAGTAATTAATTGTTGTAATTCAAGTAAATTGCAGTAAGTGCCTGCAGCTCTACACAGAGGAAGCAGGGACTGTGCTTTGTAGGTACCAGGATCTGCCCCAGCAACTCTGGCAGCTCCTCTGCAGAGATGGTTCTGGTCTTTGCATGGTTTTTTGCTGAAAGTCCGTCCCCATGCCTGCCCTAACTGGCCCATACTCAATGGAAGAAGACCAAGCTTAAGCAGCACTGTACATTGCCAAACCCCGCGTTCATGTGTTATACCTGTGAAGGGCCACACCAGGGAGTGTTACTATAAACATGTAATGTGCAATGGCAGGTCACCCCCAGTGTGAGGCCAGCAGCTTCCTGACTCCCACGAGACCAGTGCAGGCAAGGAGTTGGTATGTCAGCTCTGTCCCTCCTCACCCCATGCAGACAGCAGTTCCAAAAGGAGCTCTGCATCTTCCGCTTCCTTGTAGGCATCACTTCAAAGAAAGGCTACCTGTTCAGGCTGTGGCAACAGCACTCAAAAGCCAACACCTCTGCAGAAAAGAAGAAACACCACCACCACCACCCCAAAAGACAAACAACAAAACACAAAAACCTAAAGAATAGGGGACTGTGAGATATCTGGCTGAGGAGTAGAAAGGAGCCAACACACTGAAGTCTGGATGCTGGTGTGAGAAGAGGGCACAGCCTGCCCCAGCCCCTGAGATTTCCAGTCGCTGCAGTGTCCAGGAAAATTGTTGTGTAGCAGAGAGGGGAGTGGTCAGAGGGAAGGGCAGTGGATTTGCACAGCTTCACCACCTCAGTGTCCAGGAGAGATTACCCTGAGCTCGAGTGCTTCAGAGACCCTGTCCCTCTAGGGCCCCCGTGAGCTTCTCTTCATCCATCTGCTTCTGCTGCTGGTGGATCCGAGCGTAGGAAATAGCATCTCCCCTGCAGAGAGAAGGAATAGTGGGTCTCTGGGCTCCAGATGCCCACCATGGTGGGTACAGCACCCAGCAGACAGGTCTCACAACTGGGGCCTGGGTCTCTCTGTGCTGAGGGATGCTGGGAGTGAAATGAGACTTGCTGGCCCTCTCCAACCCTACCAAAGTGGGTTGCTGCCCCCAGAGCTGGGCCCATCTGCCCAGCCGCTGCATAAAGACAGCTGGGACCCACAGGGCAACCCAGACTGAGCTTCCAAGGAAAAGCTCAGAGCTTCAGCAAACCCTAGGACCTTCCTCCCCAGGCCTGAGAGGTGATGGCAGGGAAATGTCCTCTGGCACCATTTACACCTGAAAGCATGGTTAGTATAAGAGGAAAGCATAGCCTTAGCAAGGCAGATGGGGTGAGGGCTGGAGGTCCACCTTCCCCTCCCCTCCACAAGCAGACAGTGCTCTCTTACTTCTTGCCGAGCGCCGACAGGCCATAAAGCACCCCAGTGGCAAACGCAATGGCATTTCCAAAGAGCGTGGTGAGCGTCAGGCTGAGCATGACAGGGAACACAGCCATCCTGCAAGACAGAGCAGCTCTCAAAGCCAGGCTCCATGCCCTGCAGGATGTAGGGATGCTCATGCATTCTGGCACCCCATATGCATCCCAACATAGTTCCCGGGATGACTTCAGCGCCACAACGCACCCCAGGAGCATTCTCACCCGCAGTAGAAAGCAGCTTTCTGCCAGGGTCGCAGCTTGTCTGCCCTTGCAGAGACGGCGTTTGCAAACTCGATAAACTGGCAGCAGAAGGGGGCTTCACACAGGAACAGGATGAAGGCGTTGAGCCTCCAGACAGAGCAAACCAGAGTTAATCCTGCCCACATGGCCCAGAGGAGGGTCAGCAGTGCCCCCACCCCCAGAGACCAGCCGCTGCTGGCAGAAGGGAATGGCAGGGCTGGACCGCTCTGCGCTCTCCCCACACTTTGATAATTCCCAAACCCTTGAGCCTCAGACATACTTTGGATAAGGGTATCTCAGTGTTTACCTAAAAAGGGGTAAAGAAAAAACAAAAGAACTCATGTCCACTGCCCCAGCAGACAGCTCTGCCCCTTGCTCCATTAACAAACCAACCACCCTCCCGGTGGAAAAGAAAAAAGCAACTCTGCTCACATCATCCACACGCCAGCCGCGATGTTCAGGGGGTTTATGGTGACACAGTTCCAGAGACCAGCGAAGGCACAGGCTGGAAAGCAAAGCGGTTTCAGTAACTATAAAGACCAATCCTGTGTGCCCACGGGGGCAGCGAGGCCAGACCCAGCAGGCAGAGCTGGCTGCTCCTCCCAGCTCTGCCCACACCAGACCTTGCAACCACACCAGCATGATGCTGCTCTCCTGTATCTGGGCATGTTTTGCAAAGCAGGCACTGCTCAGAAGAGCCCTTGCCTTGGCTGGCCCCTCCAGGCACTGTACAGACCAGCACAGAAGGCCTCTTGGGAAAGTCTGATGGCCTGAACAGGAGCCCAAGATGCAGTAGAGAGGTTTTCATCCTGGCTCCTCCAGCCAGGTACCCTTTTCCTTCAAGTGCTGGATCTCTTAGCACGACACTTGCACAACTTTTTCACTTGCAGAGAACAGAGCACTTGCTGTTGCATGGAGTCACATATGCAGCACCCTGGGTTTTAGTTGCTGAGGAATTACTGCTTTGTCCTGGGAAGAACAAAGAGGTCCCAGCAGGCACCCATCTCCAAGCAGCACAGGGGAAGTTCAGCAAAAACAAGACTTGCAGCACCAAGGCACAAAGACAATAAATAAAGCAGAGGTGAATCCAGCCTCTGCCACACGCTGCCAGTGCTGCGCTAGAGATGGGCAGAAAAGAGCCAAGTTTGTGTCCACTAATATAAATGGAAGCGGATAAAGCAGAGCCCAAAGTATCCCCCACACTCCCGGCTCTGTCATGCAAGTTGAGGAGCGAGGCAGCAGGGCCCATGCCAAGTCTGCTTGTTCCTTCCTGCCTCATGAAACTTGCAGAGCATCCCCAGCACTCGATACGCTTGTTCCCTGCTCTGACAACAGCAGGTCCTGCTGCTCACCGGGAACCCAGCCTGGGCAGGAGGCAGCAGCGCATGCACAACTCCAGCTACATTCCATAACCCTTAAACGCTGCTTGCAGACCATCAGCAGCACATTGAAGAACAGCAGAGGCCGTCTAAAGAATGAGATCAGTCTGGGTTTGGATATTTCAGATGGCTGCTCCTGTTTCGCTAAGGGGATCCCTGAGCAAGGCTGCTGCAGGCAGAGCTGCTGTGGGCAGTCCTGCCCCTCAAAAGCCTGGCACAAGTTTGCAAGGTTTCTTTTCAGCAGTCACTGCTGAATCCTCAAAGTTCCCTTAACATAAATAAGTTCCTTATTTATCAGACTGGAAAACAGAAGTGCAGGGCTGTGACAGGAGCAATCTAAGGTCACCCCACAGGTAAGTGATCTCCTGGTTTTAGGAAGCAACCAACCAAAGCCAGCAGCCACTGGTAACAGTTTGGTGACCTTTGGGCTTTTCTGCAGAGCAGTGAGTCCCGCAGCAGCCTCGCACATCCTTGTCCCACCAGGACAGGGCTGGCTCCTGCCTCAGTAGCCAAAAGGGGATGGAGCTGCCAAGCCAGAGACAAAGCCTCACAATGGATTTAAAATCCAGATAACACTCAATGGCACGTAAGCTACAGGAGACACACAGTTCTGCCATTTGTTCAACTGCTAACCCATCTCAAATCCCTGAGGAAGCAGATAACTGGAAGCTAAAATGGAGAAAGAAGAATGCTACCCCCCCCACACACAAAGGCTCTATTCATTTCAAGCAGCTGGTCACTGTCCTCATCACAATCCTATTTTTGCTCCTAGAGCATTTCACAAAAGCCACAGACTCTCCTTGTCCTATTACAAACAGGAACACAAGGGACTTGGCCAAGATCTCCAAGCCAGCCTGCGCAAGAGCCAAGAACAGATCCTGAACCTTGTTTGTCTTGCTCCTGCTCTGGCCCTTGGACCCTTCTGGCTTAAGCGAGTTGTGTGCTGCAGGTGTTTGCATGTGGTAGACATCTCCCAGTCTCAACTCTGCTAACAAAGTTTCTCTTCCTTTCTATAGGGAATTTTTCCTTCTGTCATAAATAATCCAGCCCTGGAGCAGGACCATGATCCAGTTGCTCAAAACCCTTCTAAATGGGTTCTGTTTTCTCATAGCAAGCTCTGAAACACAGCAGCAAACTCCAGCCTTGCTGTTTTATTAGTCACCCTTTTTCCAAACTGTCCACTTTAAACAAGGTGAGGCTGAACAAGGAGCGTTTTGAAAAGAGCCATTACTAGCACAGGGGGTTGGAGGGTTGCCTCTTTCTGAAGTTCCCTATTTACCTGCTTGTAAGAGGAAATAGTGCTGCCTCGTTCCGTGCCTCACAAGCCTCATGAAGGGAGACTGTCAGGGCTAAAGGGCAAATGTCTGCCCAGATCATCAGTAATCTTGTTGAGAGCCTGGCTCTTTGACGCTACCAATGTCTTGCTAAAGCTGAACCCAGGACACACAACCATGCAAAACTCTTAGCTTCCCTTTAAAACAAGGCACGAGTTCTCAGAGATGTGAACAAAAGGTTGGGAAAACAATCCAAGTACGATTCATCTGCTTTGAAACATGCAGACCGAGAGAAAAAAGTCTTCAAAGACTTACATTTGTAAGGCACTTGTGTGCTGCTCTAGCACAAGGCGGGCAATGCCACCGACGCCACCCAGCAGCATCCTCCATCCACACGTGTCCTGAGCTCTGCATGGGCCAGAGGCACCCAGAAAGCACCGAGGCTGCAGCTGCAGGACCAGGCCATGGGAAAACGCCTTTGCACTAAACCCACCCTGGGCCCTGCACTCCAGACATGTCCCAGCTGGGCCCTTGGCCACCAGCCGCGGCCGGGAGCACGGGCCCCAGGCAGGGCATGGCAGGGCCGGCGCGTTCCGCCCCGCAAGAGCAGCCCTACCAAATCCTTTCACACCTCCGGGATTTCAGCACCTCAGACATGAAACAGCAAGAGCAGCGTGTGCTTCCCCAGCCGCGAGCAGGGGCTGGAACAAGGCTGCCCAACACCACCACAGGCTCCAGGGTCCACTGCAAAAATGCCTGGGGCTTGTGCAGACAAGTCCTGAGGCAAGAGGCAGGGGCAGGGAAAAAGGGGGATCAGGCAAAACACCATGGCCAAGGGAATAAATCAGGGCTGACTGCACTGGCTGGGAAACATTCTCGAAGTCGTAGACCTGAAGCAGAAGAAATTATCCATCCTGTGCTCTGCAGGAGATCAGACTAAGTGGTCATAACAGTCCCTCCTGCTTTTAAGAGCCATTAATCTCTCCACAGAACGTAGCAAACAGCACTACAGGACAGGCTGATCTCTGGCAAAGTTGCAAAGATTCTTTCCCTGGGAAAGTTTTTTTCAGCAGGTAATTCCAAGCACAGCCAACTCACTTCACTGTCTGCTGTCTCCCTTCTTCTGTGTCCAACATTAAACCCCTTAAAAACACACAACACAAACTAAGTCCATTATTCACCTTCAAGAAAGCAAACACAGGCAAGCCATCAGCAATCTACAGCAGGAGTAGCATGAAACATGCTCCAACATTCAGGACAGGAAAGAAAGTTGCAGGAACATGCAAACACCCAACAACAAGGCATGAACCGGATTCAATGGCCCCTCTCCAAGCCCTGCCCCTGCTGTGCCTGGTCAGCTTTATCTCCCCAGAGCGCCAGGGCTCGGCTGCTGCTCCCGCCGAGGGCCATGCCCAGACAGAAACTCACAGGTTCACAGGTCCCCCGGGATGCCCCTTCTCCCGAGCCCAGGCTCTGGAGGCTCAGCACGCACACAGCACGTCCCTGGGTGCTGGAGAAACCCATCCCAGGGCTCTTTGTTCTGCCCCAAGCACAGCACAGTTCCCTCTGGAGCAGACACGAACCAGTGACCCCAGAAGGCCGCCTCATGGAGCAAGAGTGACCCTTGCACTGGGCCGCACGCGCGCACCGGGGCAGGGCACGTCTGGCCCAGGGGACGGGGATACTTACACAGGCCCCCGGCGACCCCGGCCATCCTGCAGAGCCACCTGTACCACCAGGTCATGCCGTCATCGGCGGAGGGAGCCCCTGGCTCAGGGGCTGCTGCCTGGAACTGCTCATCCTGAGCGCTCATCGCACCCCTGCTCCCAGCGGGTCAGGGGCAGCCCACCCCGAGCCCCCACAGCGCAGGACACCCCCCCGTGACAGCCCCCCCAGGCCCCTCCAGCCAGCCCCTAGCACCAGCCCTGCCACCGCTGAGCCTCTCCCCACAACCCCATGCAGGGCCTGGCCCCACTGCCCCCCCCAGGGCTGACAATGGAGGGTCTCTGCCTGCAGCAGCGATGCCAGCGGCCAGGGAGCTGCCTCCACGTCTGCTGCGTGTTGCATTGTGGGTCCCCCCCTCCGCAGGCAGGGCCCTGATGTCACTGCATTATAAATGCCGGTGGGCAGAGCCGTGGTGTGCGTGCTCATCCGCCGCCACGGACCCACAGCAGGGCCTGGGCCCCACTTCCCCTGGGTACCAACTGGACGCTGTAATCCAGGCAGGCAGCACATGCTCGGGAGGAAGGGAAACATTCTGCCCTGAAGACAAGAGGTTAACATTCCCCTTAATCTGAATGTAATCAGACTTTCTCCCTAGAAAATGGGAGTAGTACTTTGCAAGCAAGAGATTTCCCAGTAGGCAACATGTTGGTATCCAAACACACAGTACAGGAAAACAGCCTGAATTCTCTTAAATTATAAAAACATCTGCATTTTTTGCAAATGAATGTTGGACATACAGCCAGTAACCAGAGCCCACCTCTGCAGAGCAGGGATTCTGCAGAGCTGATCTGGAACAATAAATAGCAATGAGACTTGGGATCCTGAGCAGAGATGGAAGACAGATCCCATCTGCTAAAAGGTTACAAAAAAGGATTAAGAAAAGGATGTCTTTTCATTAACATCTCCTGTTAGGCAGGAAATGAAGGCCCAGTGCCTGCATCACCCACGCATGGCAGCGGGATAGCTGATATATCCAGCTCCTCAAGGATCTCACTTCAAGAATCTACTTTCTAGCTGTTCCAGGAACAGAATGTAAAATCTGGAGGCTGGCAGGCAAAAAACTGCAGGCGTAACCAGCAAAAACACAACTATTAACAAGATAGAAGAAAGGTTTTGCAGTTGTAAAAAGATGTCAGAGAATTCAACTGAAAGCAGGCAGAAGCAGGGTTAGAACTGCCCAGGCAGAATCATTCACTGCATCCAGCACAAAGAACAAGGGCAGATGTGTCCATCAGGCCTGAGGTGCAAAAAATACCCCTTAAGCTGTATACTGTTTTGAGGAGGGTGAGAGATCTGGACCAAAGCATGGTCCACTGTTCAAGAACGTTAAATAAGATCAACCTAAAAATGTATTTAAATCAAATGAGTATTTGTCACTACTCTAAAATACTTCTTCCTGCTGTAACTTGTATCACACAGTCTCAACCATCTCTCATTGCACAGTTCCTGTGAGATGAAGACACAAGCAGATTATAGTATATACATAGTACAGATAAACTATACATATACTCTATACTATATGTACAGTATACAGTAGCTCAGCTACTGTCCTTACCCGAGTAATGTTTTGGCACCAAACCCATCATTAAGAGACAGAACTCTTTTATATTCCCATTGAAAAGTACTGGTATCACTATCAGATATATAGTAGTAGAACCACAGAAGCAGTGGGTGGCTAGGAAGGGACCTCTGATTGCCATTTAGTCCTCCCATATAAAGCCAACTGTCAGCAGGGCCTGATCAGGTCAGCAGTGTCTGACCAGGTTCTTGCCAACTCCCGAAAACATTTCAGCTTCCAGAGTGACCTGTCCTAGTGCTGTGCTCCCCCATCCTGGGCAAAGAAACTCTCTTGCCCTCACATGGCTCTAGTCTTCTTGTGCTAGCAGTTCATCCTCACACACATCTCTGCCTTTATAACATTCCAGAATTTCAAGAGCTCTCAGTTTTAAGGAGCATTTAAATTGCAGGAGAGTGAACTTAATGACTAAACTATAATCACACCTACTTGTATAGAGGTTTGTAATGGGACACTTAAGCCACGACAAAATTAAATTACTATCCTAAAAGGTCACAGCATGTTACAGAAGCAGAACCCAAAGATTTCAGTGTCTAAGTCACTGACTGCAGGCATGTAAACTGCATTAACACCAACAAATATGGACAGAAAATCCATATGAGGACTGGTTGCTAAATATTTGGTAGTTACATGTCCTTTGCATAAACCTTATAATTGTTAACTGAGATCCCAAAGGAGTCAGAAGGTATTAGTGTTCTTAATAAATGCACAAGCAGTTGCAAAAAGATTAAAAGATTCATGTGACCTCAAACAGTGAACAGGCAGCAGTGATTAACTGGACCATGGCCTTTCTCAGTGCAGTGGCCCTGGACCCTTTTATTTTGGCTCAACAGCATAATATTCAGCCCAGAAATTGATTTGATGATCCTTAACATTTTCATGGAATTCAATTTCAGCTTGGCTTCCTGTTGATTGCCAGAAGAACTGTTGTTTCCCATGGAACACCATCGTCTTCATGGTGCTAACATCACGGACCTGCACAAGTGAAGACCAAACCACTATAGCAGCAGCCTACAAGTGAAGCACCAAAAAAAACTGGAGGGCTTGCAAATTGGTCACTCAGGAGGAAAAGCTGCCCTAAACAAAGGTTAGAAGAAATACTGTAGACATCAGTAACACTCATTCATGTCTATGTTTGTGTACGAGATCAGTCTGACACTTTAGGATTTATGATTAAACTTCGCGTCTGGTTGGAAATCGCTACTGAGGACATGGATCCATTCCCATCACATCATTCCCTTTAGGTTTCTGACTCACCAAGATGTAATTAAAATGTGTTTTGTTGCTCTCATTGCCCAGGTCAATGTATAGGGCGCGGATAGCTATGCGATGTCGAGGAGCCATATTGATGAAGGTCCGACACACAACTTCTTGCCTTTGATCAGGCAATTGCACAGGATTCACTATTTCACCTTGGGGACCAAACAGTTGCTTATCACAGTCTAAGAGAGGGAAAGGGAGCAGAGAATAAAATTCAGAGGAGTGACCAGCATCTCCAAGAAAGAAATAATTTAAATTAAACACAGGCAGAGAAGTTTCTCTATGGATTTTAATCTGGGAACCTCTAGGCACCAGCAAACACCTGCAGGGAGCTTGCTTTTAAAATGGAGGGGTAGTCCACAAGTAATATTAATTCCAACACTCCTTAAGAAGGGGCTTATTAGCTGCTAAAAATGAAGCACGGGTTCCACAGATTTCCATAGGCAACCATGATCTGTGGAATTCTATGGGCTTTGTTGTGGTGCCTTAGCAATAGCAAAACTTTCAGTAAGGTACCTTGGTAATATTTTTTAGTTGCAGTTCTGCTGTTGTACTGGAGAATGACCCCATTTCCTGGCAGCAAAACACGCTGTTTCACGATCAGTGTATTTGTTCTGGAATTTATCAGTGATAAAGTAAGCTTCCTGCAGCCTGTCCGCCACATCATTCGCCCAGAGAACAGCACTACCTCACCTGAAATAGATGAGCACAGGGACTAGAAGTGCTTTTCCTTTAAGTAAAAGGTCACAACCTGTCTTATATAGGTCTGGAACCAAGGACTTTCTGCATCTTGTCCCTGTCTTATCAATGCTTGTCATTAAAACAGTCCAGTTACCTAATTAACTGTACTGATTCCAGCAAGAGGGTATATTTCAGAGAAGGTTTATAACAGTCCAAAAGCAAGTAGCTTCTTTAACCCCATAAACTCCTTTCATCAAGATGACAGACAAGAAATCAGTACATATGGGCAGGACAGGCAACATCTTCACTTAACCCCATTTGACAATGACTTGGTGGGAGAGAAAAACTTGTAAAATGGTTTCAGAGATTATACAGGCTCCAAGGCAGCAAAAGCACATGAGCAGAAGAGGTGCAGGTTTCCCGAAGGACCAGGCTAGTCCCTAGCATGCCCAGGCAGTACCTGCGCTGCAGTTGAGGGAGCTCTCCAAGATGTGTACTGTTATCTCCTCCCTGAGAGGACGTCCAATGGCCACAGTGCAGTCACTGTTCTCTACACCCATCATGTTGATGATCCCGCTGGCATTAAGAAAGAGCTTTCCACAGACACCTATACAGCAGAAACAGATGAGAAACACATCCAGAAGAAACTACAGCTGCTGAAAAAGAGCCATCATTCCCTTCAAGCTGCAATGAAAAGACAAGTGCACACATTCTCGGTAAAGCACAGGAAGAGTCAGCTGCTGCCCCAAGGAGTCCCATGTCAGAAGAGTTTTGGGAAGCCCATGGGAGGAAGTCATTGCTTCTAGCTCAGATAACACAGACTTATGGCATGCTGGGAGGAACAGCATGTTGCTCCTTCTAAGTAGAATTCGCTCCCACTCTCCTGTCCCTGTACAGCAGTAGGGTCACCACAACCCAGCTGCACGCAGCAAGCACCTGTCTCTACCTCCTCACCTCCACGGGTCTTAGTCTGTTCCCGTGGCACAGCAGACAGAAGAAGGTCCAGGTCCTCCTTGGCAGGCACAGCTGTGGTCAGACGTGTGGCTGGTGTCACTGCCTGTAATTGTGCTCCATGGGACCCAGTCTCCACCACCAGCTCAGGACAGGGCCCTGCAGAACAGCCACGTACCACAATGGCCTTGGGGAACTGTCTGCAGAAGATGGGCTTCACGCGCTTACGGGTTAGCAGGTTGAGGCAGAAATCCTGCCGTGTCTGAATGCCATTCCCACATGAAGTTGAACACTGAAAAGGAAGAAGCCCACAGGCCTTTATAAATGTGTTTCAGTTGGTATTTATACATAAATGCATTTATTGGCTCAGGCACGACCGGGGAGGAGTGAGGGAGGAAGCTGATCACTGATGCTATTTTGTCTCTTGCTCTTTCAGTGCTCTAGTTTCATCAGCTATAAGATGGTCCACATCCCAGGGGATTTTCAAAACTAGATCTTTGAATTGCAGAACCACTTCCTAAAAAGTCTGAAAATACCTGCATTCCAGAAGAAAACGTACCAAGGACTGTTTTCAAACTGCAGCCAGAACCTTATCTGAGAAAGGTGGGAAGCAGACCCTACAACTGCTAAACATGGGGCAGTGGAAAGGATGGAAAACACCCCTTGAAACAGTTTAGCATTTATTTGGGAAGCAAGTATAGAAGG